ATCAGGCCCTCTTCCACAAGCAAGGGAAGGTTGTGAATTCAAAGAGATGACTCACCCAAGTTTACCTGAAGTGAGGTTGGGAGCCAGTGGGGCTCAATGGGCCCTTGCTGGTACCTAGCATTGGGTCCAGGTTCACGGGGTGGTCCTGGATGAGCTTCTTTGGGATCCTGCCAACTGCAGCAAGTAAATGTCAGTGTAAGAAATGTTGAAACCTATTGCATTTTTATGAGTTTATTTCAGCCAAACTGATAACAGTTGCCGGGAAGCAAAATCTCAATAGATTGAGGAAATGTTCTGGAAAATGGCAGTTTTACTTCTTATTTTATACATCAGAATCAAAGAGGAAGATGTAAAGGTGTTACATGAAATTCATTGGTTATAGATTAGGGAGGCAGGAGAAAACAGAATCTCTGGGATTGGGTAAAAAGTAAAACAAATCACATTTGTAATTATAGGATAGTTAACAGTCAACAATTAACTTGATAACAATAACAATAAGGGGATTTGTGGTCTCTACTTTTTTTTTTTTTTTCTCCAGTGGTTGTATTCTGAGGCATCCAGGAAAAGCGGAAATTACTTTGCTATCCCAAAAGTATGTTATTTTTTATGCCTAAAGACATCAGATAGGCTCAGTTAAGGTAAAGATTGACTTTTGTCAGGGAAGATACCCACCATGAATTACTTTTAATTTTAATTTCAGACCATCCTATATGGTTACTTGCAGTTGCTGTGTTTGTAAGTCCACCATGCAGTCCTCCCATCACAAAAATTTGATTCTTTTCTATCCAGCATATGTATTCTTTAAAAAACTAGCAGGGAAAAAAAATATACCAACTACTACTAGCAGGGGGAAAAAAACATACCAACTTGGAATGTGAAGGTAACCAAAAAGAAGAAGAAAAAATTGCCATTATCTGACTCTCCAGATATTTAACCTTTTGACATTGAGGTGTATGGTTTTTGATAGTTAATGTATTGACATGGGTTACATTGTTTGTGTACGTAGCTTCTTTTCTCCCACTTGTCACAAATGAACTTCTTTTCTATTCGTCACATGTTCTACATAATTTCCCATGGCTGTCCAAACACTCTTGTATGAATATTCCAGTCTCTCTGACTAGACTCCTGTTGTTGAGCCTGATTTTCAGTGGTTCTCAACCTTCCTAATGCCTCCACCCTTTAATACAGTTCCTCATGTTGTGGTGACCCCCAACCGTAACATTATTTTCGTTGCTACTTCATAACTGTAATGTTGCTACTGTTATGTATCGTAATGTAAATATCTGATATGCTATATGTGTTTTCCGATGGTCATGACCCACAGGTTGAGAACCGCTGATTTAAGTTGTTTTTAATTTTTTCTCTAGATAAAGGTTTCAAAAAACATGAGCAATTCAGCTTTTCCAAATACCCATCCCACTTCCTTAGAATGAATTCTTATATGTAAAGTTTTTAGGTCAAAAATTAAGTGAATCTCTTAGGTATTTGCTATGCACTGCTTACTCTGGAAGAGTCATCAGAGTTACCAAGAATGGATGAAAATATCATTTCTTTGAACTCTTTATGGAACTGGGTACTATCAACATTTTTTAGCACCAAATTGAAAAGTACAAATGACATCCAATTTTTGTTGTTGTTCATCTGACCTTTAATTACAGTTGAGGTCAAATTTTCCCCTGCCTATTTGTTAGTCATTTGTATTTCTTCTTTTATAATTTGCCAGTTCATGTTCTTTGCTCATTTTTCTATTAGGTTAGTAATATCTTTTCTTATTAACTTGTAGGAACTCTTTTTATATACATTTGTACAATTTGTTGTAATATGTGAGCAGTTTTATATTCACCATTTATTTTTCTTAATGGTGTTTTAGACACAAAGTCTTTTTCATTAATATCTTCATTTATCTACTTATGCATTTGAGTATCACAATTGATAAGTTTCTACATATAAATTAAGAGTTAGCCTAGATGACTCTGGGAATTCCAGACCTAGCAGGATTCATATTTCAACTGAACTTGGAGAAAATTTCTAGTAGAATTGAGCTAATAATTCTAGGTATGCTGTTCAGTATAATTAATAGGACACTTTTATCTTTTGTAAGATCTGAAATATGGAGCTATCACTATCAGTCATTTTACAAATATGTGCCTTTTAATTGAATTTCTGAGTCCTTTCTGCTGGCTTCTGGGAAGGCAGGAAAGTGAGGAACTAGTTGATTGGTATTGACTTAGGCTTCAGACTGCTGAGGACAGTGAGACAGTCTCGTCTTTGCTCCTGGCTTCCAAATGTATGAAATCAAACAGAGTTTTTATGAGTTAACAGATAAGTTAAAACCCATGCAGCCCTGGCCAGTGTGGCTTGGTTGAAGTATCACCTTGTCCTCCAGAAGGTGGCAGGTTCGATTCCCAGTTAGGGCACATACCCAGTTTTCAGATTTAATCCCTAGTCAGATGATTAAGGGCAGCAACCAATTGATATTTCTCTCTCTCATCCATGTTTCTCTCACTTCCTCTCTCTCCCTTCCTCTCTCTCTCTCAAATCAATAAAAACATGTCCTCAAGTGAGGATTTTAAAAAACAACCCATGCATAGTCCATTCATAAGCACTAATCAGAAGGCCTATGGTAACATTGTTGTCTGGTGACATTTTTCAGATAGGGAACTTCGGTTTGTGAGTGCTTCCAAACCCCGTGTGAGATGTGTAGAGCAGCTTGTTCACTCTTCCCTGGCCTTTTGTTCTGGTACTGTATGGGTTAGTGTTTCCAGTCTCAGACTGAAAAATCATTCACACTGGGGGCTTCCTTAGAAATATGTCTTTCAAAAAGATCTGCAAATAATACAGATGTTTTTCCTGACTCTATAGAATTTGTTTTGAACTACAAACTGCAGACCATTCCTTGTTTGAATTTGACTTTTGTTTCTGTCCTTGCTTATCATTATTCCCTGCTCCTTAGGGACTTATATTGTAGATTTCTTTATGATGGATGATTACCCATTGGGGAGAGCTAATGTTCTCTTTGCTGGCTCCGTGGCCAATAGAGTCAAAGCAACCATTCTCATGTGTGAGGGCGTGACGACCACATAGGTTTTTATTAGTATAGATGTGTTTTAAGACAATGGCTATCTTGAACTCATGCCAAGAAATTATTAGTTACAGTTGTTGCATAAGGTAATATGAGGGAGAAATGCATATTTGAAGTGCTCTCAGAAAGATTGAATTATTTGAAATATCAGAAAGAGAAAATTATAGCTTTATAACTACAGAATTTTGGTCAGTTCTTTATGTTCATATTCTAAAATGCTTTTCATATACCCAGGATTATTGGACACACAGAGTCAGAACTTAAGTCTCCTTGGGGACAGCCTAGATCAGGATCTAGAAATGAGGCATGCCAGGATGGTGCATATGGCAGTCAAAGACCTGGTACTACCCTTCACCTCTTTCTTCTGGAAGATTCTAGAAGCAGGTGCAGAGCAATGGTTCTTGTAGGCAGCTGAGATTGGGGCTCTATGGGAGCCAGCCCTGAATTTCAAGGGCAGCACACTCTACTGAACCCCAGTCTTCAGATATAGGGATACTGTGCAGATCACCCCAGCAGAGATTTGTCACAACTAGAGTAAAATCCAGGGATCACTTTATACATGTAGAGGAATCCCAAGGCTAACTTGAGACTAAGTCCTTTGGCCAAGGAGACTACAACTTCTTAAATACCCTGAAATCAGCTGATCCATCCTCTAGGATAGGCCAACGGCCCAGGAAGCCATACAGTCCTGGGGAGGGCAGAGGGCAGGAGTATGTTGCAGGAATATTAAGGCCGATGATAGTGGCTGTGTTTTTCAAAACCAAACTTACAAGGTCAGATCTTCCATGTTCTGCCTCAGTGATTCTCCCTGTGAGGACATTTTCGCCTTCTTTCATGTTAATTACAAGGAAAGATTATCATCCCTCTTGTTTACTGGAAAATTCTGTTGTAACTACTTCACCCTTGGACTAACATGACCTGTGAGGCTTGGTCCAGCTCCATTCTTCATATTAATGTGTAGAATCTCACCTCCCTTTCCCACAGATTGTGTTGGACACTGCACTGCATTTACTACTGTTGTCAGATACCAATGAAAAGTGAGCAACTCATCAAAGTTCCCTCTCCCAACCGCCTGGGCAAATCACTTCTGAGTAAGGAGTGAGAAAGAAACATACTCTGGCAGCAGGACGATGCTATCATTGGTGGTTTTACTCTTGTTACCAGCATATTTTTAAGAGTGCTGACCTGCGAATTAAGAGATAGTAACCTATCCTGTTAATTGCCACTTTTTCTCTACCTCTTAATTTGGCTGTGATAAAATCTGTGCCCTCCTCCTTGCCCAGTACATGAGGTGATGTGATAAGACAGTTCAGTACCCTTTGAAAACAGTAAAACAGTATAGTGGTTAAGTTTCCCAGGCTCCCCAGCAGACTTAGCAACAGAACAACTTTATTCTTGACGGAAGATTATCATTTAGAACAGTTCTTTTGTTGCTTAGTGACTCCTCCTCAGCCACCAAGTTTTTACGCAATTTTCCCATTTGGGGGAAGTTCGGGGGTCATTTATCTGTAGAGGAATGGGGATACCACGAGGCCACATTTTTCCAGATCTCTTTCTCAAACCACTGAAGGACTCATGCAATGAAAGAGAAAATCTTGGGTAAACCAGCCCAGATTAACAGAGGCGGTCGCATCTCACACACATATTTCACAGATAGAAAAACACTTCTGCATAAGATTCAGTCCTCCAAAAGAAAGTATTATTTCTAATGTAAGTTATTACAAAGAATTAGATTCTGCTGGAAAATAATCAGATGTTATTCTATCTTGAAGACATTTTAATTTCAGTTAAATGTCAGAAAGCAAATTAAATCCTAAGTAAAGCTTAACCTAAATTGTATTTGAAGATTGGGTCTTTGAGACAAGGGGAATATAGCTACAGTTTGTTATTTCTTTGTGCTTTCTTTCAAACACTGTAGGCAACAGTATTATTGAAAAGAGCCCCTACAGAAGAGGGTGAAGATAGGTCGGCCATTCACAGTAATGAATCATCTTGCAGCTTGCCATCCATTCTGAATGACAATAGTGAAATAAAGGAAGCAAAATACACTCCGTGGTTCAACAGAGTTCTTACCTGGGAACAAGGTAACTACTGTTCAAGGGTTGGTCCACAGCAAAAACCCATTCAGAGTCAACGTGACTCCTTCTTTCTCAAGGTGTACCTATAAAATAAAGGGGGCTAGAGAATACCTCAGATTTTAATATACATAATAGGTTATTTGTTTTACATACCACCTTTCAATAAATATATGATTTTGTTTAGTCTCACAGGCATAGGAAACCTAATTGTAGGGCTTCAGTGTTACTGAATTTCCAATAAATTACGTTTTTATAAGTTATGAAATCTTAACAGAACTAATCACTGGGCAGTGGGTAATTTTGATCATCCTACAAAGATGAAGATGATTCCATTAAAATGATTCCATAAAGTACTGTAAAGTTTTTGATATCACTTAATAGAATTTACTCATAATTTATAAACATTCTTTTTAAGGTTGTCTTTATAACACAGTATTATAAAAATCTAAACTGATGATACGAATCAATGGATTTATGCCCTCTAAAATTTTAGTATCCAGAAATTGTGACTATTTTAACATTACTATTAAAATATGTCAGTAAGCCACTATTGTGGTATTTCCAATACAGCAATGAGTTACTCAGGATGTATTCAGAAGTTGATATACATGCACAGTATTTAAGACTCACTGTTTTAAGCCCCCTTCAAATTTGATAGATGTCAAGCTAAATAATTTTTTCATGAAAACAACATAGAGATACCTTAGTTTTAGAAAAGTTTTCCTTTTAGAAGGAACAGTACTATTTCAGGCAAGAAATAAACTGGAGGATTAAAAAAGGGGGGGCGTCTAGGGGAGGCCAGGAGATTGTCAAGGGCGGGGGGAAAAAAGGTCACATACGTAATACCCTTTGTAATACGTTAAGCAATAATTAAAAAAAAAAAGAAGAAGAAAGAAAGAAAAAGGTGGGGAGACAGTGAAAATAATAGGAATGGTAGTTTTTAAAAAATCAAACAAAGGTCTAGTCCATAAATATAACCCTGACATACATTTTTATTGTCATATGTTTGATTTTTAGAAGTTTCAAGAGCCTGCAGAGATGAGAGCAAGGAAAAAAGCATGGCAGCAAATGTTCCAATCACAGGTAAAGTTATGGTTGCCTAAGAGTTGCAAACACAGAATTCAACCTTGTTATATAATTAGTACGTTCTAGGTTGGTGATACGTGAACTCCACTAAGAGCATGTATATTTGACTACCACATGCTGGAGCAGGAGAATAATTATAAGAGCACATAATTATAATGTGCAAACTTAACGTTAACACAAACTAAGGTGGAAAATAACCGTGTCTATTGAATTTTTCATAATCATGTTATACATTTACACATGCGAGCATCCCCCATCACCTAGCCTTTCAGCACCTGCGTCTGTGAAAGGGTCAGTCTCCATGGGGAACACCCAGTCATTATATGTAAACTACAGATGTTTCTGAGTTTATTCTTTTCTTTCCTGTGATAATTGAATGTGTGTCATTAAAATAAGAGCAAGGGGAAAAGTACCAGACAGGAAGCTTGCTTGTGCCTCAGTTGCAAAGCCTGGCTGATAAATACACAATTTTAGCAATAAGGCTTCATCAAGACTTATTAAGTTTTCTGCACATGTATTAGGCTTATTAAGATGAAATCTGAGTATCATTACTTTTTTTTAGTTTTAGAATATCAACAGCAGCAATTAGTATTCTGAACAGAATTCTATTTGTCATGCATCTAAATTTAATAGTGCCTTGTTTTTTAAAGTGCTGTGCTACTTCATTATAAATTCAAAGGTCTGACTTTAAATATTTATACAAGTAAATACACCATTGCACCAAGGTACTGAGGCACGCATCTGTATGTATTGTAGTAATGTTGTTTATATGCAGGAAAGAATGGCTTTCTTTTATGGCAGTACAATTCATGGCCTGATGATTAATTTTTTAAGCTCATGTTTCTGTGATGAACTCTGGTTTTGAAAAAGGAGTTTATAGTAGAGAAATTATTGTGTGTATTCTACACTCCGAAATGCAGAGGTTTTCTTTTCTTTTAAATATTTCCCAGTTATATATTTATTGCCTTCTTATTCTTCATTTTGAGAAAACTCTGGTAAAGTTCTCTCTTTATTTTTTAATGGATTTTTAGAGAAAGGGGTTGGGGGAGAGAGAGAGAGAGAGAGAGAGTGGAAAAAAAAAACATCTGTTGGAAACCTCCCCAAAATGCTCCAACCTGGGATTGAACCTGCCACCTTTTGATGCATGGGATGATGCTTCAACCAACTGAGCCACACTGGCCAGGACTTTAATTTTTTTAATAGAAGTGTTAATGATCCCAAACTGCAAATAACCAATCAGTTATTTGGATGCTTTTCCCTTGCATTTACCTATGAATGCATAAGTATCTAATAACCTCTGAACTTATTTCAATTAAAAGTATAAAAGCTTATTAGGAGAAACCAGGAAGTGGCTTCGTTGCCCTTTCCTACTTGTCATTTAAGTATTATTTTCAATCATCCCCTGCTTCGAGTAGATGACTCTCCCAAAAATTATTGCAAATGTTATTATCTCATAAAAATTTTATTGAGGTATAATTGATATATATGGCACTATATTACTTTCAGGTATACAGTGTAATGATGTAATATATGTACACATTGCAAAATGATCATCACAGTAAGTCTAGCTAACATCCATCACCACAGTGTGTTACAAATGTTTTTCTTGTTATGGAGAACTTTTAAGATTTACTCTCCTAGCAGTGTTCAAATATGCAATACAGTATTATTAACCTTAGTAACCATGCTGTTCATTACCTCCCCATGACATTTTATAACTAGAAATTTGTACCTTTTTTTGGCCTTTTAAATTTTTATTTTTTAATTACAGTTGACATACAATACTATATTAGTTTCAGGTGTACAACATAGTGCTTAGACATTTATATAACTTGCGAAGTGATCACCCCTATAAGTTTAGTATCCATCTGACACCATACATAAATATTACAATATTATTGACTATATTCCCTAAGCTGTATTTACATCCCTGTGACTATCTTTATAACTGTCAATTTGACTTTTTAATCCTTTTCATTTTTTTCACCCACCCCTCAACTCCCCCCATCTGGAAATCATCAATTTGTTCTCTGTATCTATGAATTTATTTCTGTTTTGTTTGTTTATTTATTTTGTTTTAGATTCCACATGTAAGTGAAATCATATGGTATTTGTCTTTCTCAGTATGAATTATTTTACTTAGCATAATACCCTCTAGGTCCATCAATGTTGTTGTAAATGATAAAATTCCATTCTTTTTATAACTAAGTAGTATTCCATTGTATATATGTACCACAACTTCTTTATCCATTCATCTATCCATGGACACTTAGGTTACTTCTATATTTTGGCTGTTGTAAATAATGCTGCAATGAACATAGGGTTGTATATATCTTTTCAAATTAGTTTTTTCTATTTCTTCAGATAAATACCCAGAAGAAAAATTGCTGGGTCATATCGTAGTTCTATTTTAATTTTTTGAGGAACCTCCATACTGTTTTCCATAGCAGCTACAACAATCTGCATTCCCACTAATGATGCTTAAGGGTTCTCTTTTCTCCACATCCTCGCCAACACTTGCTGTTTGTTGATTTACTGATAATAATCACTCTCACAGGTGTGAGGTGATATCTCATTGTGGTTTTAATTGTCAGAAAATATGTACCTTTTGACCCCTTCACCCATTTTGCTCATCTCCTACCTCTGCCTCTGGCAACCAGCAATCAGTTCTCTGTGTCTGCCTCATAGAAACCTATATAATAAAAGGCTAATATGCAAATTGACCCTAAAGGAATAACCAGTCACTATGATGTGCACTGACCACCATGGGGCAGACGCTCAGCGCAGGAGCTGCCCCTGATGGTCAGTGCACTCCCACAGAGGGAGCCCTGCTAAGCCACAAGCCAGGCTAATGGCTGCAAGTGCAGCAGTGGTGGACGGAGCCTCTCCCGCCTCCTTGGCAGTGCTAAGGATGTCTGACTGAAGGCTTAGGCCTCCCTCCCCCGCCAGGAGTGGGCCTAAGCTGGCAGGTGGACACCCCGCAAGGGCTCCCAGGCTGCCAGAGGGATGTGTGACTGTCAGCTTAGGCCCGATTCCCCAGGGAGTGGGCCTGAGCTGGCAGGTGGACATTCCCCGAGGACTCCTGGACTGCAAGAGGGCGCAGGCCAGGCTGAGGGCCCCCTCACCAAGTGCACGAGTGCACCTGGCCTCTAGTTTCTTTATAAGAGAAGAGCAAGTTGAGTACCAGGATTTCAAAGCTTCCTTCTCATCATGCAGAAAGAGGTATGATGAGCCTAGAAGTAATAAGAGCTATTTGCCATTAAAAGTTTTAAAGAAATTGCAATTCCAACAACCTGTCATTGGTCTATCAATAGTTGGCAGTTCTAATTTTATTTATTTTCTAAATTTTATCTTATTGTTGACAGTATTACAGATGCCCCCCATTTTCTTCCCTTTGCCAACCTCCAGTCAGCCTCCACCCCATCCCAGCCTTCACTGTGTTATTGTGTGCGTCCATGGGCTGTGCATATATGTATATAAATTCTTTAGTTAACCTCTCCCCCACACCACACCCCTGCCCTGCTTCCTTCTGTTTTGTTTGTCAGTTTCTTTTGTTCATTAGATTCTACATATAAGTGAGGTCATCTGATATTTGTCTTTCTTTGACTGGCTTATTTCATTTAGCATAATAATTTCCATGTCCATCGATACTGTCACAAAGGGTAAGAGATCCTTCTGTTTTACAGCCACATAGTATTCCATTGTGTAAATGTTCCACAGTTTTTTTATCCGCTCATGTACTGATGGGCACTTGGGCTGTTTTCAGATCTTAGCTTTTGTAAATACCACTGCTATGAACATAGGGGTACATATATCCTTTCTGATTGGTGCTTCAGGTTTCTTAGGATATATTCCCAGAAGTGGGATCGCTGGGTCAAAAGGCAGTATCATTTTTAATTTTCTTAGGAAACTCCATATTATTTTCCACAGTGGCTGCACCAGTCTGCATTCCCACCAGCAGTGTATTAGGGTTTCCTTTTCTCCACATCCTCACCAATACTTACCATTTGTTGATTTGTTGATGGTAGCCGTTCTGGCAGGTGTGAGGTGATACCTCATTGTAGTTTTAATGTCATCTTTCTGATGATTAGTACATTGAGCATTTTTTCTCTTGGCCATCTGTATGACCACTTTGGAGAAGCGTTTATTCAGGTCCTTTGCCCATTTTTTAATTGGATTGTATGTCTTCCTTTTGTTGAGTTTTATGAGTTCTTTATATATATTGGAAATTGACCCCTTATCAAGATGCATCATTGGCAAATATGCTCTCCCAAACCATAGGTTCCCCTTTCATTCTGTTGTGCAGAAGATTTTTTAGTTTGATGTAGTCCCATGTGTTTATTTTCTTTCTTTGTTCTCCTTGCCCTAGGAGATGTACTGGTGAAAATACTGCTACGTAAGACGTCTGAAATTTTACTGCCTATGTTTTCTTCTAGACTTTTTATAGTTCTGAGACTTACATTTAAGGCTCGTATCCATTTTGAGTTTATGGTGTAAGTTGATGGTCTAGTTTCATTTCTTTTTGCATTTACCTGTCCAAGTTTCCCAACACCATTTATTGAAGAGACTTCATTGAGAGAGAATCATTGAGCATGCAATCTGGTCAAGTGCCCTGACCAGGAATTGAACCGGTAGCCACCTGGTTCATAGGTCGACACTCGATCACTGAGCCACACCAGCTAAACTCATTGTATATTCTTAGCTCCTCTGTAAAATATTAATTGATTAGTATGGTGTGGGTCAATTTTTGGGGTCTCTGTTGTGTTCCATTGGTCTAGATGCCTGTTCGTATGTCAATACCAGGTTTTGATTACAGTGGCTTTGTAGTATAGTTTGATATCTGGTATTGTGATCCCTCTAACTTTGTTCTTCTTTCTCAAGATTGCTGAGGCTATTCAAGGTCTTTTTTGGTTCCATATAAATTTTTGGAATATTTTTTCTAGATCTGTGAAGTATGCCATTGGTATTTTAGTAGTGATTGTGTTAAATCTGTAGAT